TGCTACTGGTGCCAAGAGTGTCGACCATGGAGCCAAGCAAACTGAAGCTGTGAACAATCTCAATCTCTTCGCCATCCCATCCTGATGGTACCGATTGGTCCAGTGGTGAGAATTTTTTTTTTAAATTTTTGTCTTGACATTGAGCCTCAGTCCATACTGAAGGCTGCAGTCCTTGACCCTCTGCAGTAAGTGCATGAGGTCCTCCCAAGAGAAATGTAAAATATACTGATGGACTCCAATGTTAGGAGGAATTGAATGGGTTTGCCAGGGTGCTCAAGTAAGAAAAATCAGAAGATGAAGAAAGGATGAAATTAAATGATATAAAACCAAATTGTTATTTTAATGTACTCTCTACTTTGTTTTACATTTTATTGAAATTTTATCATTTTCCAGAATATTTTGTGCTTTAATATTTGATGCCCTTTGTAGAAATTATTTCATATTTTGAAAGAGCAAGATTATGTTTTCAAGATAAAAATTTTTTTATTAAGCTAACACAAAACTTGTTAAATATATGACTAAAAATAGAGAATCAGAGGTAATCACTCTGTAAATGAGGACAACTGCAGTGCAAAAAGGGGGCATGAGAAGAACTGGAAGGAAGTCAAGGTGATTTTAAGATGAAGTGAACTGGGAATATAAGGTAATTCCCAAGAAAACTAATAAATCTCCTTATGAGAACAAAAAAGAAAAATCATAAAGATTGTGTAAATGTTTAAAAAAGCAAAGAAGGAAATGATAAGAAAAGTCATAACTAACTCAGCGCAGAAAAGCAGAAGGAATTAAGAAATCAGTAGCAGCACAAAGAGTGGAGTAAAACAATAGCAATAAAACCATACTTATCAGGGGGGAGGGAGGAAATAAGGCAAAATTGAATGAATTTTTCTTTTAAAGTGAGCTGGGAGAGGAGGTAGGGAGGAAATGTACAACAATGAATGAACAAAAATCCAACTCTTCTGTAAACTTTCATTAAAAATGACAATAAAATACCAAAACCCATACTTATCAATTCAATAGTGAAGAGAAAAAGTAGAATGGATAACATGACCCATCAACATGCTGTCTACATAAAATCACCTTAGACACAAAGACTAAGATAAACTAAAAAATCGGAGTGGGAAAAACATTATGCAAATGGCAAAAGAGCAGGAATGTCAATATTAATTGCCGATAAAATAAACTTCAAGGCAATAACTCATGTGAGATAAGGAAGAGCACTGTACAATGGTCAAAAGGTCAACTGAACAAGGACATAATCATAATTAATTAATATTAATATTAATATGCAATGACTACAAGATACATAAATCACAAGAGTCCACAATTAAGACTGCATAGTGGAATATACTTGGGGCGGTGGGAGGGGTGTGGGGGGATTGTGTACCAGGGAAGGAGTGTTTCTTTTACTTTTGAAAGAGAGGAAGGAACTGGGGGTGTGGGGGGGGGGGGGCTGGGCAGGGAGAGAAGTGCAGCAATGGATGAATGGAAATCTCTGTAAATGCTCATTAAAATGATTTAAAAAAATATTAAAAAAAAAGAAATAGGGAAACAAGGGGAGAAAGCTACATGATCTTGGAGTGGCATTGTTGGAGTGAAGCTAAAGAACACTAAGGATTGCTGGCAGCACAGAGGTAAGCAAGAGCCTGCAAGGCAGGACCTGGCTCTGCTGATGCCTTGACTTCTCCAAAAATAAATTTGTCATTATAAGAAAAAAGAAAAAAATACATAAATCAAACTTTTAGGGATTTGAAGAGAGAAACTGAAAACTACACAATAAGAAACCCGAACACATTACTTTTGATGAAGTACAGAGCGACTGGGAAGAAACTCAATGAAGACAGAAGACAATACAACTAACCAAAGGATCTCACAGATTGAGGCTAGAGTCACACTTGGGTATTGCTTGTTGGCTTGGTTCACTAGAGCTTTTGAAGAGTAGTTGCTAAGCTTATTCACTGGCTGTGGGACCAGGTTAGCGTGATGCATCAGACTGACCTTTAAAAGGTTGGTATGAGACATTACCACCTGAAAAGGAATCAGAGCTTCTGCCCAATTGTCAACCTTGACAATTTATGGACTTTGTTCAGTGAGTAGACAAGGGTAAATGCTGCAAAAAACAAGACTGGAGCTGCTCCTATTGCTGATGTGATTTGACTGAGTTACTACAAAGTTTTGGGGAAGGGAAAGCTCCCAAAGCTCCCAGTCACTGTGAAGGCCAAACTCTTCAGCAGAAGAGCTGAGAACATTAAGGGTTTAGAGGGTTCCTGTGTCCTGGTGACTTGAGGCTGTGCTAATTAAATGTTTTTCCTTAAAAAGAAAAAAAGCGACCAAGAATATCATAGATATAGAACACTTCACCCAACAAGAGCATAATATATACTCTTCTCCAGTCACAAACAGTATTTCCAGAATAGACAACATATTAGGTCATAATGCAAGACTCACAAATTTAAAAACATGGAAATACTAGAGCATCCTTACAGATAGATTACCATGCTATAAAATGAGAAATCAGTAACAAAAACAAGGGGGAAAAATGAAGGACATGCAAACTAAGCAACTCTCTGCTTGAACACTATTGAGTAATAAACAAAATACAACTTTAAAATTTCTTGAAACAAATGAGAATGAAAACACAATCTACCCACATTTTTGAGATACAGTAAAGGGTCAATAAACACATACATGAAAAGAACCAAAGCCAATACAACAATTCTAACAATTACAAAAAGGACAGCAAGGAAAGCCTAGTGTTCCTAGTATAGACAGTACTAACCAGTTTGGAAAGCTCTGAAGACCATGTGTTAGTGGTGAAGATCTTTTCTCTGGGAACCCAGCGCTCATAGACGGCACACAGTGCCTGCACAGCGCTCTGGCCCTCCGGAGTCTCATCGCCTCCAATCAGCACTCTGTCAGGGTTCTTCAAGTCTTTAATGGCTGTCCCCTCTGCCAAGAACTCAGGGTTGGACAGCACCTGGAATCCCAAATGCAAAGGAAAGTTTTAAGTAAAAATCAATTATGGGCAACTTTAAGACATCAGTACTTATGAAAGAAGCAGCAGATTTGGTGCTTTCTGTTATATACCTGTAAATTTAAGTTGGGTTTTGTGTTTGCATCGAATATGCGGCGAATACTTTCTGCTGCCCTCACAGGCACTGTGCTTTTCTCAGTCACAATTTTGTACCCATTTGAGTTTTGCGCAATGCGTCTAGCACAAGCTTCGATGTACTTCAGGTCTGCAGCCCGGCCCTTTCCCATTCCATAGGTTTTTGTTGGAGTATTCACCTGACAACAGAGCAAAGGGGATGAACAGATTACCTATAAGGCATTCAGGGATTCCATACAGGGATTTGATTCCTTAAAAAGGATTCCATTCAGGGATTTGCATACAGGTAAAACTCACTCTTGAATTGTTAAAAGGAATGGCAAGGGAGGGTGAGAAGTAAAAACTGATACAGTTAATTTGGGTGAAGAAAAAGGTAATATACAAGTGCATGAGTGACAGAATGAAAACTGAACATGGTTTGTAACTTTCATGCAAATAAAGAATTAAGCACAATAAAAAGCAATTAATACTTATTACTAAGTACTAAAATTATGAATAATTTTTAAAAGGAATGCCTGTAGATAGATTATTTAGATAGATTACTAAAATGCAAAGAGCAAAAGAAAATGCTTACAGATATAAATACAAGATCAGCTTCATTAATGGCTTCATCAATATCCGTGGAAAAGAAGAGGTTTTTGCCTCGACAGGATTCTACCACTTCTTTTAGTCCTGGCTAGAAATAAAAAAAGAAGAAATGAAATTATATATGCTTATCATTTATATTGGACAACTTTATAATACAGAATTATATTTGCTAAAGTGGACTGCAATTTAAAAGTCTAGCCTTGTTAGTACATATCCTTTTTTAATATTTTTACTGATTTTCATATAATATCTTTACAGTATGTTTCATTCATATACATTGTTTTATACAATCCTTCATTTACACTGTGTTTCATACAATCATTCATATACATTATATTTTACATTATTTTTGTTCTAGTTTTAGCACATAATGTATTTGCAATGGTGGTGGTGTTAGATGCTGTTGAGCTTAGACTGATAAGGACTCTGAACAAAACATCTGAATGTGGTCCTTTCCTGCACCATTCTTACACTTCCTGACACACAAGAGCCCACTGCAGCAATCATCATGTTAATTCACCTGATCTTTGCAATAAGGTAAAAAAAAATCCTATCTCAAAAAGTATAAGTATATTTTATGGAGTATCAACTAAATGAGCAAAGTCAAACTGGCTACAATCAGGGCAGGAGTTCATTTTAATGCTGTGTCATTACTTACCGTGTCCTGCCAGTTTCATAATATTTAATATTGACCCAGAGTATCAAACATTAACTGTCAAGACCATTGAGGAATTCTGTGGTTTCAAGCAAACATTAGATTTTGTGCTGTCACCATGAATGCAGGTTTTTAATCCCTAATGATTTAGGCCTTTAGAGATTGTGAAACAGCCAATCTCTATACATGCATAAACATATCTTTTTCTAAGTCAGATTAACCACTTCCCTTGAAAATGTTACAATTTAAGATATTCTTTATCATGTATTCTTGTGGAAACACCCGATCAAAGCTCTCATTAGACCTCCAGATCCAATTACCAGTTTATAGATAATATACTCCCTGCTTTTAGGGAAGAAGGTTCAAACAGCATCCACAATATTAAAATTTAGAAAACTACATGGCATGGTGAAAGCTCCTTCAAGTCCCATGAACCAGAATTATATCCACTTCCCCCTGCCCCACACTTCTGAGGGCTTTTTATATAAACAAGTGGAGGAAATGTAAACTATAGATTCAGACCTCCTTCAGTTTGATTATATTTAATAGGATCACAGAGCAAGGAGCTCTGGTGGCCTAGTGACCAGAAGCTGTGCTGCAATCCCAAAGCCACATGGTTCGAGGCCTCCAGCTGCTCCCAGGGAGAAGGATGGGCAATCCCTTCCCATGTGATTAACTGCCTCTGAAAACCTGCTGAAGGGTCAGCTATGGGGCAGTTCTGAGTATATGGTACAAAACAACCACAGGATCACAGCAGTTAAATCCTCAGCAGCTACGTGAAGGTCTGCCCTGTAGAATCTCTATGAGTCAAAAGCAAGAAGAGGGCAACGGGTCTGCTTTGGTTTTTAGCAAACTATACAAACCACAACCACCAGTAATATATGTCAAACACAGTAGTCTCCTTGACTATTTCAGTGGGTGCAAAGAAATGAAAGCAAAAGGTTATGAAGTAAGGATTTTACAGAAACAAAATTTAATTTCATCCTACATAGAATTGACTGGAAAAGTCTGCACTGAGGTACCTCTTCAAATTACTGAGGAGTAATGATGTCAGTTTGAGGACTAAGGTGTCAGATTCAGGCCATGCTTTCTAATCACTTGCTATGCATCTGAGAGCTGGATAATGATTAAGCATGACAGAAGAAGAATTGATGTCTTTGAGATGTGATGTCTTTGAGATGAGCACTGAACACCCCATGAATTGCCAAAAGAACAAACAAATGTCTTTTGAAGAGGGTTCAACCAGAATGTTCTGTGAAGGCAAAGACAATAAAGATTCACCTCATATATTTAGGGCATGTTGCTGGGAATGGTTGTTCCTTGGAGAGGGACATGATGTTCGGAAAGGCAGAGGGTTTGAAGGAGAGGAAGACCCTCAAACAGATTGACACAGTAACTAACTACCACAAGCTGTAGTGTGTCAGGAAGTGTGAGGATGGTACACGATAGGACAGGGATCAGATCTGATGTTCATCGGGTGACTATGGGTTGTACTTAACAGCACCTAACAACAACAACAACACAGAATATGCCAATAACGAAATAAACTTAAAGCAAAAAAAAAGAAAAAACCGATTCAAACTCATAGCAAGTCTACAGGACAGAGTAGAACCGGCCCAGGCTTCCTAGCTGAAAATCTTTACACAAGACTGTACTATCTTTTTTCCCTCAAAGCAGCTGGTGGGCTCCAAATACCAACTGTTCAATTACCAGCCAAGCACTTAATCACTTGCAACACTAGTGCTTCTGGAAAATAATAAAATATAATGTAGAACTTATGCTAAACCTTTAAATGAACTCAAAATTAACAACTCCATTACTGTTAAAAAAACAATGAGGTAAAAAACCCAACCAACCAACCACAATGGCATATTTAATATATCCAAAACTGATGCAAAAAAACAATACAGGTTTTACCTCTTACTAGAGAGTTCTGGTGGCCTAGTGGTAAGGAGCTGTGCTACCGACCCAAAGGCAAGTGGTTTGAATCCACTCATTGCTCCTTGGGAGAATGATGGGCAATCTCATCCCACATGATTTACTGCCTGTAAAAACCTGCTGGAGGGTCAGCTATGAATAGGTTCTAACTTGACGGTACACAACAACAACCGCTCATTAGGTTTATTATATAAATACTAAAACTAAAATCTCACATTTATACTATATGTCTATCTGTTGTTTAATGCCGTCGAATCGTAGATGACTCATAGCGACCCTATGAACGAACAGCCTGAGCACTGTTCGTACATAGAGTTTCCGGAGGCAAGCCATTTCGGAAGTGGATGCCGCTCCTGCTTCCAGGCTTGATTTAGTCGGGAAGCTCCAGCCAACACTGTCCACCATGGCTGCCTACCTATATATAAACATGGTACTTTTGGGCTAACTAGAAAGTTTT